CGGGGTTCACCAGAGACGACCCTACCGAAACACGCACTATGCACTACGATACTTGCTGCTGGAGCCTACCTAACGAACCCATAATGACAAGCATAAAATAGTCACTCTCTGACGGTGTATAACCACTTTGGCCTTCAGCAGTGCTAACTCGAGCGTGTACGGTGCATACGAGAAGGGCCTCCGTTAATAGTAGCTTGAAACACTACATGTTGTTGCTGTTGTTTTCGGTTGGTCCTTTTCTACACCCGAAAGTCCCAACAATGTGAATGCCGTATGCTGCAGCTGGTTCGTCGTTGAGCAAAGGTATCTCAAGACATTTGCGGCTTTCTCTCGTCGTGACTCGGGACATGATTTTGAGCCTGAGGAGAGGTGGGGGACCCACATTTTTTTCGAAGTTCCTGAAAGAAGTGTTGATTGCTTCGTTGGGAGCTCGGGCTCCGTCATCATAAGGATGTTATCTCAGGATGTGGCCTCTGTCGTGGATTTTGCTTAACATATTCTCGGAGTGAGCAAGTAGCAGTGTGGGTGCGTGTGGTTTCGGGAGGAAAGGAAGGGGGCCTGTAAGCGTGTGGTAGGTAGCTCCGTGTTCTCAGAAACCCTGAGCGATTCCAGGAACTCGCCTCCCTTATTCTGGTAATCTGAAAATATATCCTAAGCGAACAATTCGAGCTTGTTCTTCGACACCTTGTGATGGCAGCGGAAACACCGTATGCAAACAAACCTCACGCCTCGCATGTCGTGTCGTGGAGTACAATTGCGATGGAAGGGAAAACTCAACAGTCTCCTGCTGTACTGTACAGCACAGCACTGAACCAGTCCGTCGTCTGGAAAAAACGGTTCGCAGCACATAAAAAACGCATTGAATCGTACTACACTCTTGACGGGAAAGCTTGTTTTATGAGGTGCTGCTTGTATGAATGTCATCGAACTTCGTTAGGAGATCATGAATGTCTTCTCCGCCACTCATCCAGCAGTTCAACATTTCTTAGGACCGTCATACAACTGTACCAGAAAAACCTCAAGCAGTTGTCAGTAGGAGCAACCACAATTCAGGCAAGCGCCATTTGAGCTTCCTCGCGCCAACAACACTCGCCTCGCCACCACTTGAGTTTGCAACCCATCCACTCCACATGAATGGCATTCGATTCAAATCTTATCACATCCAACCAAGCCCGCGTAACTTTCTGTGATTCGCCGCGTGAGGCGCTGTCCTCCTCAATAGGTCATAGCAGCCGGTAAGCCGCCTATCCCTTAGTCCTATTCCGCGCCGCGCCAGTTGGGACCATGTCCAAATGTCACGGCCCGTGGAAATTTGAGCTTCCTGCCCCGCGGAACGACAATCTACAGTAAATTACATCAATGTACAGTGCCGAATCCACGCGCCGTCGCTTGAATTCCTCATCTTTCTATTCGTTGATCTCCACGCGCCGTCGCTTCTGTTGCTACAGTGCCCAATAGACGCGCCTCAGAGACATTACAGTACCACGAATCGTATAGAGTGGTGCCACCTTAGTTAGTTACTTCCACTTCGAATGCCTTCCACGACCCCATACTACTACCCACAACGCGCTCATCGACCAGCACTATTTAACGACTCTATGAGCCTGCTCCTAAGCAGTACAGGTAGTAGAGTCAGTCGCGCCAATAGTAGCGCAGGTAGTAGCGCCAATAACGCCGTTGACGGTCGCGCGTCCAGTCCCTCTAACGTTTTCTCGACTGCTACGGCCACTGAGAGCGACGGCGTCGCGGAAGCAGTCAATAGTGGCTCTGTCGGAGACGGCGGCGGCGGCAGCGGCATTAGCCCGATCAGCGTGCTCAGCGGTTTTTCTTCGACGAGAAGCCAGTGCGATCATCCCATCGCGACCCGTTTAGAACAGTTGGACGCGACCGCAGCAAGAGGCATGATTACTAACAGTGACTCACTCTCCACCACTGAACCTGGGGGTACATCAGACGTGGTGCAGTGCCCCCCTCAGGCGATGACGACACTGATGTCGCGGGAGTCGCAGCAGCAGTCGCAGCACGAGTCGCAGCAACGAGAGTCCGATAACGTGTGGGCTCGGCGGCGACAGGTGCAGGGTCGCGAGCGTCCAACCCTGGCGTTGCGCAAGACCAGCAGCAACGCCGACGCCGTCACCGCCGTGATCGCTCGCGAAACGCCAACTCTCTCCACTGCTCTCTCGCTCGACAAGCCGGATTCCGCCAGACGCCACCCCCGATCGGCAGGGGGGCGGCCTCGGAGGACGGCTGGCAAAGCCTCACAACTCGCGCGAGACGCTGTTGCTGGGGAAGCGGCGGCGCGGCGACAGGAGCGAAAGCGGGACGAAGCGGAGTCGGCTAACCTGCTTGATGGAAAAGACACCGACGAAACGCTCACGAGCTTTGAGCTGATGCGGATGCCCGGACTTCGCGGGACGAAGACGACAGACGACAGTCGCAGCGCTAGTGGTGACGCTACTAGCAACGACAGCAACGCGGCAGGAGATTTCGACGGCGGGAACGAGGAGGAAGGCTCGTGGGAGGAAGGGAACAGGGTGGGTCGAAGCAACCTGGGATCCTCTCAGAACGAATGCATCTTTCCGCGCGACGGGTCGTACGCGCGCGACGAGGAGTACAGCGGCGGCGACGACGGCGACGAACGACCGGGCAAAACGAAATTTGGTAACCCGTCGGCTTGGGAGGTCGACGACTTCCCTGGCTTTTCCATGACCCCACCTGGCGGCGCAGCCGCCGCCGCCACGCCCGTCGAATCCGAATCGGAGTCGGATCGCGACGCTCCTGGCGGCGCGACGGAGGTGGTGGCCGAAAGATGCGGGTGGAGCAGAGTGGCCGGGAGGAGCTCTTCCGTGTCTGTCGGCGCCGATCCCGCTGGAACTGCGGCGTCGCAGAAGAGTGTGCTTCTGCAGAGAGGGTCGCGATCGCAAAGGATATGTTCCGCGAACGACGTCGTTGTGCACCCGTCGCCCTTACCATCGTCGCTATCGCACGCAGCCGAATCGCTTACGCCCAACTTGTCGTCGCCAGCGTCGCCGACTATTGACGAAACGTCGTCGGCAGAGTTAAGATTTGCTGGGGTTCCTGACGGTCCGAACCTAGAGAGAAATACGAATAAAGCTGACGACGCTGGTGAGCTAGTGGCGCATCCACCGCCTTCGTCAGCACCCGCAATGAGTTCAGGGTTTTCTTCAGGAGAAAATCCTGGAGACGCGGCGAGAACTACTGCGAGCGGTTTAACCGCCATTGGATCAGCCTCCTCCCACGCAGTGATTCATTTCAGCCACGAAGCTAGCGATGTCGCGGAACGGGATAGTCGCGAAACCCTCGAGATCGGTACAACGAGGGTTTACGCCAGTCAACCGTCGGCCGTCAACAACCGGTCGTTTCCAAGGTCAAAATCTCAGTCAGGATCGAAGATCCAGTCAGAGTCGAAAGTTCAGTCCAAGTCACTTCTGTTTCCGTCAAACAGGGGGAGCAGCTCGTTTTCGAAACTAGAATCGCGTTCCGGACCGTTTTCTCCTTCAGCCCTCCCTCCGCCTCCGTTGATCGCGGCGGCTGTCGCGTCGAGAGATGGCGCCGAGTGGCTACCGTCCTCAACTTCTGGCAGTCACTGTGACGATGACGACGTATACGGTTACGGTGACGCTGACGGAGACGGAGACGGAAACAACGGAAGTGGTGGGCTTTTCAGTATGCGTGACGCGGCTTCTAACTGGAAAGCAAGGCGCGGAGAAGGGTTTGCGAAAGAAAAAACTTCCCCGAGAAGTAGCAAGAGTAGCAGCGACAGTAACAGCAGCGCGAGTGAGCGAAGGCGTGCGAGTGCGTCTGCGAAGGGGAAGGGCATCGCGATGGACGAAATAGACGAATCCTTAGCGGGCAGTTGGGCAGGGGAGTGCAACGGCGTCCCCAGCTGCAGTTACAGCAACTACAGTAACTGCGAAAGTTCGACGAGTCAGGACTGTCAAGGCAACTTTCACAGCATCCCTCCCAGCCGCGTCTCCCACCACCCCCCTCCTGAGCTGGATTTGACGTGTCTCGAATCCATCATCTCAACGCTGGGCGTGCAGCAAGAGGACCAGCCAAGAAGAGGAAAGAGCAAAGAGAGGATGCCACGTGGCAGTGAGAAAGTTGGAGGGACGAGGCATGCAAGATCCGCTTCCTCATCCTGCCCAGCTACCCCTTTCCCTCAGATGCCACCTTCCCCAGCCACACCTCCCTATAATCACACCCACCACAATCAATATCACCATCATCACCCCAATCGCTCTCCCAAATCCCACCTTCCTCCTCACCCGTCCCTTTCCTGCGAAAGCTCTCCGCACCTTCTACCGAACCTCGCCTTTGATCCCGAGCCTGGAAGCTCAGGCTCCGGCTCCGAGCCTCACGGTCTGCGTGGTGAAAGCGTAGGGGATGAGGGAATGTGGGAGGAGAGAGGGGGGAGGGGGTGGCAGAGAGGGAGAGGGCGAGGTTGGGATCAGGGGGGACTAGAGAGGGAGGCATGGGGATCACGGGACATGGGGTTAGAGACAGTCAGGGTGGCAGCGGCTGTAGCTGCCACAGATGGTGCTGATTTTGCTGCTGTTGGTGATGGGGATTTTCCTGCTGCTGCTGCCAGTGGCATTGTCATTGCTCCGCCTGTTACTGCTTCCGACGTGGGGGGTGACGTGTCTCTTGCTGACCTGGAGGCAGCACTTGCCACGCTGTCACGATCTGCACAGGGGAGGGGGGACGCGGGAGCAGGGCAACACAGGCACCATCGTGCCTCGTCCTTCTCACACACATCTCTCTCCCACTCCTTCTCCCGTACCCCTCCTTCTCGCTCCCCCCTCCCCCCATCCCCCTCTGCCCGCTCTGCATTTGCGCATTCCCCCTCCAACCGATCCCCATCCCCCTCTGCCCGCCGCTCCCCCTCCCCCTCCGCGCGCTCCCGCTCCCCTGCGCCCATCACCCGCTCCCCCAACGCCTCTCGCGGCAGCATGCATGCGCGGTCACGCAGTTACCACATGGGCCCCACCTTTGCTGTTCCGTCTTCTTCTGGCGTTGCTGCTGCTGGTGCTGGTGTTGCTGCTGCTGGGGCAGGGATGAGGTTAGGTGCTGCTGGTGTGAGTGACGGTGCCAATGGGGGGTTTGTGGAGGGAGGCAGCACGCGGCGGGGAGGGCACCACCGCAGCAGGAGCATCAGCACTACCGGTGGTGTCTTTGGCACAGGAGGGGTGGCGGAAGCAGGAGAAGCGAGAGTGGGAGGAGGAGGGGGAGGGCTGGGAGGAGCGGAGGGAGTTGGAGGAGGGCGCGGACATGTTGGTTCCACTGCTACAGGCAGCACGGGCAGCATTCCAGGTGGCAGCAGCAGGCGGTTCTTGCAGCGGCCACTCAGCTTCAACGCCGTTCAAGGCCTCCTTCTCTCCCGCTCGGGCTCTCGTACTCCCCCTCCCCACCTGCACCTCCCTCCTCTTCCCCTCTCCTCTGACCGCTTCTCGCCCTCCCCTTCCTCCTCCCATGCTCTCCGCAGCCCCCAACCGAGCCAGCAAATCAGTCCTGGGTACAGCCCGAACCTGAACGCCAGCTTCGGCCATGCGCCGAGCCTGAACGTGAGGAGCCGGTCTCCAAGCCCCCAGGTGCTCTCCCGCGTGGCAAGCACCGGCAGCTTGGTTGACGAGGGGGACGCGGATGGCGAAGCAGACCACGAGAGGGGCAGGGGAAGAGTGCGAGGGGGAGGGAGGGCGTTGGAAAGGGAGGGGAGCAGAGGGGAGGGGCGGCGGTCGAGGGGGCCGAGCAGGAGCAGGAGCCGCACTGGAGGGCGGCGGATGGGGATGGGGCTGTCGTGGTCCATGGGGCCTGCGAGAGACACGGGGGAGTTTGACGAGGACCTGAGGGACTGGGAGGGCGAGCTGCTCTTCCGCCCTCAACACCACCCCCACCTCTTCCCCCCCGACCGCCTGCTTCAAAGCGTTGCCGCTGCTGCTGCTGCTGCTGCTGGTGGTGGTGGTGCTGGTGGTGGTGCTGGTGGGCTGGAAGGAGATGGTGGTGAGCGCACACTGGCTGCTGCTGGTCGCCATGCTGCTGATATGGACGGTCATGCTGGTAACGCACGTGACAGGAGGGCGGGGGCGGGTGCACCGGGGCACAGGCGGTTTGTGTCAGACCTGTTCTTCGATGCCCCCATGGATTACTTCCAGCCCTTCCTGCCCTCCCCTGCTAACTCCTCTGGTGCCTCCAGCCCTGCCCTGGACCGGCTTGCTCCGCACACCACCCAGTTCGAACTTCTCTCACCGCACTCGGGGCAGTTTGAGACCTCCGCCCCGCACACGCCACAAGCACTGCACTTTGACCTCGCCCTCCCTCACCCACCCTCTGCATCACCCTTTGACCCGCACCTCCCCCTCTCCGGATCCTTCGAACTCCTGGCCTCCGAGCGACCATCCTCCGATCTCTCACCACATAACGCTTTCACAGCCCTTGGGAACAGCAGCAGCTGCAACAGCATCAGCCTGGCGCATCCCTCCGCGTCACCCTTGCTCCCATCAGCAGCCCCCCTCCCCCCACGCAGCAGCAGCAGGCGCAAGCTGCTGGGCGAGCGGCGGGGCTCGAGCTTCAAGGAGCGCCACTCCTCGCGAGACCTCTCCTTTGGGGATGACCCCGTCTGGCTCAACCCCTCTCTCGCCCCCTCCTCCTCCCCATCCGCCTCCCCTCCCGCTCCCCTTCCCCTCTCCATCACTCCATCTCGTGACACCGGGGCGGCCCTTGCGGCCGCCTCCTCCTCCTCCGCCTCCCGCCACCGAGTGGCCGGCAGTGGTAGTGGCAGTGGTGCCAGCTGGGAGAGGGCCTTCAATCGCAGCAGCTCTTATGGAGGACAGGGGCGCATGTTCTCGGGCGGGGAATGGTTGTCGGGATCAAGAGATCTCTATCCGACTGGGGACAAAGGCAGCGTGAGAGACTCCCTGGGCGGCAGAGACAGGATGGCAGATGGCTCATGCTCCACTTGGCAAGCCAGAGGCGCAATCAGCGGAGAGCACGCTTTGTTGTTTAGAGGGCAAACCGACCGGGACTTGTTCTTCTCGGAGCAAGGCAGCCGATTCGCGTCCCCTGCTGGTGCGTTCGGCTCGCGCGACCTGCTGTGCAGCAGTCAGCACGGGTCGTTTGTGGGCTCAGACGAGCAGGTGGAATACCGGGAGGGCGCGTTCGGGAGCTTGGAACGGGTGGGAAGTGGGGGTCGAGGGGCGGGTGAGAGGCGAGAGCTGGTGGCGTTTGGCAGCACGGAGAAGGAGACAGAAGGCAGGCCCGAGAGGGGCGAGAGGGATGCGGTGGAGGAGGCAATTGGTGCTGCTTCTGCAGTTGCTGCTGCTGCAGCAGCAGCTGCTGCTTCGGTTTTCGGCAGTGCTGCTGGCGGTGGAGGCATGGGAACGAGTGCTGGTGGGTTGAGCAGGGGTGGGCGGGAGCGGTTTGGGTTCCTGTCGTCTGACTTTGACTTTGACCTGCGCACGGGACCCCTGTACCCCAGTGGCCCTTCTGAGCCCGCTCAGTCCGCTGAGGCCTTTCTGAAGCCAGATGTCGCGGGTGTGCAGAAGGGTATGGTTGGGCAGGGTGTGGTGCAAGAGGTGGTTGGGAGCAGGAGCAGCAGCAGCAGCGGAGCAAGGCTGGTGCGTGGCAGTGGCAGAGCCAAGGAGCGGGGCGAGAAGGAGTACAGAGCAAGGGAGCAGGGCGAGGTGCAGTTTGCAGCTAGGGCGTTTGGTGACGGTGTGAGGGCCAGCGAGAAGAGCGGCAGTGGGAGGTGGTGGGAGAAGATCCACTCGGGCGTGCGCAGCCTGGAGCAGATGCAGCAGGACGCCTGTGACGCTGCCATGGCTGCCGCTGCTACTGCCGCTGCTGACGCTGCTAGCATGGTGGATGGCAGCTCGGCAGAGCTTCCCGGCGATGCTGCTGCTGCTGTTGCTGCTTTTGCTGCTGCTGCTGCTGCCGGTGCACCCGCAGCATGCGAGAGAGCTGTAGAGCGAGCTTCTCAAGGCAAGGCAGATGGTGCAGGCAGGGAGAGCGGGGAAGCAGGGGACCAGCAGCAGCAGCAGGAGAATCAGTCGCAGGAGCAGCAGCAGCAGCAGCAGCAGCAGGAGCAGGCAAGGCCAGTGCAAGCACAGCAGCAGAAGGCACAGCACCCGGGGGCAGCGCTGTTCATGGGGGGAGGGGGGTCGGTGCTGGGGAGGGGCCTGCGGGAGCTGAAGGAGGTGTACGTGGTGGGGCGAGCACCCGTGGGGCGCGGGCAGTATGGCACCGTGCGCAAGTGCGTGCACAGAGGGACGGGCAAGGCGTATGCGTGCAAGAGCATCGGCAAGAGGAGCCTGCTGGTGAGTTGACAGAGCCTTCACAGGTCAACACAAACGATCTTCTATAACAGCTGCGCTTTCTTTTCCAGGGAGGCGAATAAACTATCAATCAAACAAGCAAACAAAAGAACACTCAGACAGAAAGCAAGAGCGAGGTTAGCCACGTTGATGCCTTACGATCACCGCCGTCCCCCGTTCCCTCATGCGTTCCCCTCATCTTCCCCAAGTGTTGCTGCAAAGGTAATGTAGCAGAAAGTGCGTCCTAAGTAAACCGCCTGTCTTTCGCCCTGCCACCCCTTGCACCTGCGGACACACCACCACTCCCACCCTCACGCTCATTCCCCTCCACTCCCATTTACCTTCCCGCGTCCCCCTTGCGGCGGTGCAGAGTGCAGCGGAGAAGGAGGCGGTGCGGCGCGAGGTGGGGTTACTGGAGCGGCTCAAGGGGCACGCCAACATCATCCGCATGAAGGAGACCATCGAGAGCACGAGGGTGAGCTCCCCTTGCCCCCCCCCTCACCAGTTACTCGTGTGGGATCACCACCAGGGTGAGTCGCCATTGAAAGGAAGGCAGCTGAGCAACGAGTGAGCTCTGGCTTCTCTCTCCAGCAACCCGTTTGTGCTGAGAAGATTTGGAGATTCTTGAGAAAGAGAAACAGAAACGAGGAAAGAGCAGAAGAAACACGAAACACGGAAAGAACATCCTAAGTGGGTGCCAGGGCACGTTTTACCCGGGCTCATCAAGTGAGCCGCCACCTGTGAGTGTCTTCGTGTCCATTACACAAGCCGCTTTCTCTCCCAAAGTATGCGCATCTTCTCCATCGTGTCTCCCCTTTCCCTGCAGTTGCTCTTCGCCTTCATGCATGTGAATGTCATCATAGAGCTTGGTGAGGGAGTTGTGCGAAGACTTACCCTAACCCCTCTGAAGCAGCACGTGCATATCATCTTGTGGAGGGTGTAGAGAGCACGGCAATAACGCTTCCCGCACCCCCCAATCACTCCCCCCCACCCTTTCTCTCATGCAGCACGTGCACATCATCATGGAGCACTGCGAGGGGGTTCAGAGCACGCCATTATCTTATTGCTCTTCCCGTTCGGTTCTCCCCAACACCCTCCCACTCCCCCCCCCCCCCCCCCCCCCCCCCCCCCCACAGCACGTGCACATAATCATGGAGCACTGCGAGGGCGGTGACCTGCTTGACCGCATCCAGCTGCACCGCAACTTCCCAGAACCCTCCGCGGCGCGCATCTTCCGGTCGCTGATGCGCGCGCTGCAGCACTGCCACTCACATGGCATCGTGCACCGCGACGTCAAGCCCGAGAACGTCCTCATCGCCCACACCTCCCCCCTCTCCTCCTCCCGCCCTGGCGCCGGCCACATTGCCAAGAGCAGCAGCGTCGGCACGAGTGCCAGCGGCTGCAATTTCAGCAGCGATGCCGTGAAGCTGATTGACTTCGGAGTGGCGACAGTGTACAGCCCGGAGAAGCCGTGCCGCGACATCATCGGCACGTCTGAGTACATGGCTCCCGAGGTATTCGACCAATCGTACGGCCCGGAGTCGGACGTCTGGAGTGCGGGGATCGTCCTATTCATGCTGGTGATTGGCCGAGCGCCGTACAGCGACCCACCCTCCACCGGAGGCTCGGTGGCACCGGAGGAGAGGTCCGGGTGGCCGAGCGTGCTGGTGGCGAAGGAGGCGGGGTTCTACGGCGTGCGCGAGTGGGAGAACCTGTCGGCGGCATGCAAGCACCTCATTGGCTGGATGCTTGTGAAAGATCCCAAGGCCCGGCCCACGCCACAGCAAGTGCTCGGTACGTGTGCTGTGCTGTCAGCCCTCCATGTGCAGCGCCCGTTGCGTTGCGTGTCTCAACAGCTCCGCGCATGTTTGCCTTCGCATCTTGTGTCTGCTCTGCTGCATGAATCATGGGAGCTCTTTTCAACCCCTTGCTGCTCCTACTAGACAGCCAATCCTCAGTGTGCCCTCATCTCCTCGTCCCAATCCGGCTCCCTTTTTCCATCCCATGCTTACCCATTCTCTTACCCATTTCATCAACATATCTCCTCCATCCCTTCCCCATACCATCCCCCAGATCACGAGTGGCTATCTATTATCAACTAGCAGATGTTATCATGCTCACATCAAGGATGACATGTAGTCGCATGGTGAAAGCGTAAACACACGGCCCAAGATAATCAAGGCACAGAGATGTGCAGCAGACGTGCAAAGCATACAGCCGGAGCATAAGTTATGGACCACCCTTAAGGTAATCACCATGTCTTAAACCCCCTTATCTGTAAAAAGCAAAAGCTGCCTGCAGACAGGGCAGAAGCTGTCCTGCTCTGCAGGACCCTCAAACTGGTTTAGTCTACACAAAGTTCTGCTGTTCAGGAAGGCAAAAGCCAGAAATTGGTGCTCTCGTCATCACATAGCCAGGGAAAATGATGTATCCAGGTGATTACCCTACATTTGCTAGAATATACGTACGGTATGCTGTTCTTTACGTACCGGTATATAGGGAGCGTAAAGACAATCACCGGCATGCTCTTCAGTTTTATTCATGTCTTGCTCTCGCTCGCCTTCGATACAACTTCAATGTTTTGAACTTGATTCACTTAGGAAGATAGCACTCCCATCACAGCCTCAGGTACCGTACTCTTCTTGGGAGAAACAATACAAGGCAGGAGATGCCATCTAGTCTAGTCCTCCATGCCCTCGCCCAAGTCCAAATTTAGATCCAGCCCACCCATACCTCCGCCCGTACCTCCACCCGTACCTCCACCCGTACCTCCACCCATACCTCCACCCATACCCCCACCCATACCTCCAACCATACCCAAGCCTAGACCTCCACCCACAATTCTGGTAGAACCACCACCCTCAGCCGCAACAGCGTTACTGTAAGAGCTCGGATTAACACCTCCTGCTCCCACCCCACCTACTCCTGCAGCACCCACGCCCCTCTGCAATGTGAACTCCAGGTTCACACCTCCCCCGCTTCCTCCCCCACTTCCTCCCCTGCCGCCTCCCACACCTCCCCCCTCTCCAGCCCTGTGCAGTGCACCTGCCAGCCAACCAGCAGGCGCCAGGTGTCCATGCACTCGCTGCTGCTCTGCGTCCACATCAGCAGCAGCAGCGGCACCACTGAGAGTGCCACCAGCAGGCATGGCATCATAAGCAGCACCACCAGCAGCTGCAGCAGCAGCAGCTGCAGCAGCAGCGGCAGCGGCAGCGGCAGCATAGGCCTTGGCAGCAGCGGACATGCGCTTACGAGGCCCCGAGCTATCACGCTTGATGAGCTGCCGCTTCAGCATCTTCTCCAGATACTTCACCCTCCTCACAAGCACCTTCGCCTTCGGCGCACCCTCCCCAGCCGTTCCCCCGCCCGCCCCGTCCTCGTCCTCCTGCTCGCTGCCGCCTCTCCCGCCCTCGCCTGCGCCACTGGCCTCCGCCTCGGCGGCCTTGCGGGGCCCCGCCTTGCCCTTGGCGGCCTTGCTGGGCGCGATGAGCGCCGCAAAGGGCAGCTCGGGGTCCTTCATTATGGCCGCCCACGCCCCGTACCCGTGCAAGAATATGCCCTAGAGAGGGGGAAGAGGGGGCGAGGGGGAGGGGAGACGGGGCGAGGGGGAGGGGAGACGGGGACGAGGGGAGAGAGATGAAAGGTGGGAGGAAGGAGGGAGTGAGAGGTGCCCATCACGGCCGTACCACAGGAGGCACTGCCACAGCTGTGGAAACACGGCACTGGGCTGCACCCGCTATGGGACGCTACGCATCTCGGCTGGAGCACAGAAAGGTGCTCATAAGCCTCGTGGGAAGCAGCACGGTGCAACAACATCCGTGAACACGCACTTCTTCCCCCACCCCAATTCCCGCCTTCCTTGATCAGCACCTTGACGAGCCCCTTGTCGTGGATGCCAGCGCGCCACCAGGCGGGCAGGTCGTGCGACTTGTACGTGGACAGGCCCAGCCGGAACCAGTCCCCGCCAAACACCGCCACCGCCCTGCGCAGCACCTCCACCGCCTCCAACCGCTCTAGCAGCCGCTCCTGGTGGCGCGGGCCGGCATGCAGCGCAGCGGTAGGAGGGGCAGAGCAGCACAGGGGGAACGGACGCAGGTGAAAGGGCCGGAGGAAGCAAGAAGGGAAGGGGGAAAATATATCATGGATTAAACGGTGAATGCCTTAACTCACGGCTGTCTTGGCATCAACTCACGGCTGTCTTGGCATTGAGCACGGAGTCTTCAGGAGTCAGCAGCACGTTCTCCCCATCCCCCTCCGCCCCCCCTCCGTCCCCCACTCGTGGTTGCCCCCTGCGCTGCCTCCTGGCCTCTGATGCCTCCCTCTCTCCGCACAGCAGACACTGCGCGGGGCGGCAGGGGCGACACAGAGGGCAGTCCAGGGCAGAGAGGAAGGAGGAAGAGCGGGTGAGGCGGAGGTGGTGGCATGTGTGCATGAGGAGTGCTGTGGTGGCATGTGTGCATGAGGAGTGCTGTGGTGGCATGTGTGTATGAGGAGTGCTGTGGTGGCATGTGTGCATGAGGAGTGCTGTGGTGGCATGTGTGTATGAGGAGTGCTGTGGTGGCATGTGTGCATGAGGAGTGCTGTGGTGGCATGTGTGCATGAGGAGTGCTGTGGTGGCATGTGTGTATGAGGAGTGCTGTGGTGGCATGTGTGCATGAGGAGTGCTGTGGTGGATGTGTGCATGAGGAGTGCTGTGGTGGCATGTGTGCATGAGGAGTGCTGTGGTGGCATGTGTGCATGAGGAGTGCTGTGGTGGCATGTGTGCATGAGGAGTGCTGTGGTGGCATGTGTGCATGAGGAGTGCTGTGGTGGCATGTGTGCATGAGGAGTGCTGTGGTGGCATGTGTGTATGAGGAGTGCTGTGGTGGCATGTGTGCATGAGGAGTGCTGTGGTGGCATGTGTGCATGAGGTGTGCTGTGGTGGCATGTGTGCATGAGGAGTGCTGTGGTGGCATGTGTGTATGAGGAGTGCTGTGGTGGCATGTGTGCATGAGGAGTGCTGTGGTGGCATGTGTGCATGAGGAGTGCTGTGGTGGCATGTGTGCATGAGGAGTGCTGTGGTGGCATGTGTGCATGAGGAGTGCTGTGGTGGCATGTGTGCATGAGGAGTGCTGTGGTGGCATGTGTGCATGAGGAGTGCTGTGGTGGCATTTGTGCATGAGGAGTGCTGTGGTGGCATGTGTCCATGAGGAGTGCTGTGGTGGCATGTGTGTATGAGGAGTGCTGTGGTGGCATGTGTGCATGAGGAGTGCTGTGGTGGCATGTGTGCATGAGGAGTGCTGTGGTGGCATGTGTGTATGAGGAGTGCTGTGGTGGCATGTGTGTATGAGGAGTGCTGTGGTGGCATGTGTGTATGAGGAGTGCTGTGGTGGCATGTGTGTATGAGGAGTGCTGTGGTGGCATGTGTGTATGAGGAGTGCTGTGGTGGCATGTGTGTATGAGGAGTGCTGTGGTGGCATGTGTGCATGAGGAGTGCTGTGGTGGCATGTGTGCATGAGGAGTGCTGTGGTGGCATGTGTGTATGAGGAGTGCTGTGGTGGCATGTGTGCATGAGGAGTGCTGTGGTGGCATGTGTGTATGAGGAGTGCTGTGGTGGCATGTGTGCATGAGGAGTGCTGTGGTGGCATGTGTGCATGAGGAGTGCTGTGGTGGCATGTGTGCATGAGGAGTGCTGTGGTGGCATGTGTGTATGAGGAGTGCTGTGGTGGCATGTGTGCATGAGGAGTGCTGTGGTGGCATGTGTGCATGAGGAGTGCTGTGGTGGCATGTGTGCATGAGGAGTGCTGTGGTGGCATGTGTGCATGAGGAGTGCTGTGGTGGCATGTGTGCATGAGGAGTGCTGTGGTGGCATGTGTGTATGAGGAGTGCTGTGGTGGCATGTGTGCATGAGGAGTGCTGTGGTGGCATGTGTGCATGAGGAGTGCTGTGGTGGCATGTGTGTATGAGGAGTGCTGTGGTGGCATGTGTGCATGAGGAGTGCTGTGGTGGCATGTGTGTATGAGGAGTGCTGTGGTGGCATGTGTGCATGAGGAGTGCTGTGGTGGCATGTGTGCATGAGGAGTGCTGTGGTGGCATGTGTGTATGAGGAGTGCTGTGGTGGCATGTGTGCATGAGGAGTGCTGTGGTGGCATGTGTGCATGAGGAGTGCTGTGGTGGCATGTGTGTATGAGGAGTGCTGTGGTGGCATGTGTGCATGAGGAGTGCTGTGATGGCATGTGTGCATGAGGAGTGCTGTGGTGGCATGTGTGTATGAGGAGTGCTGTGGTGGCATGTGTGCATGAGGAGTGCTGTGGTGGCATGTGTGTATGAGGAGTGCTGTGGTGGCATGTGTGCATGAGGAGTGCTGTGGTGGCATGTGTGCATGAGGAGTGCTGTGGTGGCATGTGTGTATGAGGAGTGCTGTGGTGGCATGTGTGCATGAGGAGTGCTGTGGTGGCATGTGTGCATGAGGAGTGCTGTGGTGGCATGTGTGTATGAGGAGTGCTGTGGTGGCATGTGTGCATGAGGAGTGCTGTGGTGGCATGTGTGCATGAGGAGTGCTGTGGTGGCATGTGTGCATGAGGAGTGCTGTGGTGGCATGTGTGCATGAGGAGTGCTGTGGTGGCATGTGTGCATGAGGAGTGCTGTGGTGGCATGTGTGCATGAGGAGTGCTGTGGTGGCATGTGTGCATGAGGAGTGCTGTGGTGGCATGTGTGCATGAGGAGTGCTGTGGTGGTATGTGTGCATGAGGAGTGCTGTGGTGGCATGTGTGCATGAGGAGTGCTGTGGTGGCATGTGTGTATGAGGAGTGCTGTGGTGGCATGTGTGTATGAGGAGTGCTGTGGTGGCATGTGTGTATGAGGAGTGCTGTGGTGGCATGTGTGTATGAGGAGTGCTGTGGTGGCATGTGTGTATGAGGAGTG